AAAATGGGGATTTTGGGGGTGTTTCAGGGGGTTTGGGGGGAAAAACGGGGATTTTGGGGGTGTTTGGGGGAAAAAACAGGGATTTTGGGGTGTTTGAGGGAGGTTTGGGGGAAAAAATGGGGATTTTTGGGATGTTTGAGGGAGGTTTGAGGGGATTTGGGGGAAAAATTGGAGATTTTTGGGATGTTTCAGGGGCTTTGGGGGAAAAACGGGGATTTTGGGATGTTTCAGGGAGGTTTGAGGGGATTTGGGGGAGAAATGGGGATTTTTGGGATGTTTGAGGGAGGTTTGAGGGGATTTGAGGGGAAAAACGGGGATTTTGGGATGTTTCAGGGAGGTTTGAGGGGATTTTTTTGGGGCCATACGGAGAGGTTTGGAGATTTTGAGGGAACACTGAGAAAACCTGGAGAAGCCCGAGGGAATTTTTTGGGGGGGGGGTGGGAATTTGTGAAAACATTGGGAAAAGACGTGGAAGCTGTGGAGATGCCAAGAAATCCCGGGAATTTAAGCAGATTTTGGGGCGCTTTGCAGAGAATTTCACCGATATTTTTTTATCACTCACTCCTTCCCTTCCTCATCGATGTCGTCCACCTCGTACCTGCGGGGGGAAACAAGTCAAAACCCGCCGCCGAAAACACGAATTCTGAGGGGAAAAAGCGGGTTTTGAGGGGAAAAAGCGGGTTTTGAGGCAAAAAGAGGCGGTTTTGGGCGGGAAGGAGGGGATTGTGGTCACTCACTTGTTGGCGGCGTGGCTGTAGCTGACCACCTCGGCCAGGATCCACTGCTCGTCCCCTTCCAGGGCTTTCACCCTGGCGGCCACTTTGTCCCCGGGTTTGGCCACGTAGTCGCCGGCGGCCGGCACGGCCCCGCACAGGGGAGGGGGTCTGGAGGGGTCCGGAGGTCACCCCAAAAATTCCCGACCTCAAAAAACCCCGCCTTTGGTTCCAGCAGGAAATTCAAAAGTTTGCCCCAAAAATGTTGATTTTTTGGTTTTTTTTTTGTTGTAAAATCGGTGATTTTTTACTCAAAACCCTCCTGGTTTTACCTCAAAAATCAACGCTTTCGGCACTAAATCACCCAATTTAGCCTCGAAATTGGGTGTTTTACCTTAAAATTGCCCGTTTTCATCCCTAAATAATCCAACAGCAGCGCCACCCTCAAATCCCCCCTTCCCCCTCCACACTCCGGTTTTTTTCTCCCAAATCACCACTTCTTTCCTCATAAATCCCCACCTTTTCCCCCCAGAACCCCTCTTTGCCCTCCCAAACCTTCACTTTTCCCTCAAATTCCCTCATTTTCCCCCGTTTTTCCTCACTTTTCCCCGGGCTTGCCGATCCACAGCGGCAGCGTCATGGCCGACTGCTGCAGCAGCGTCATCAGCACCCCCCTCCTCATCGTCTTCCTGGGCGGCTCCGCCTCGCTGTAAATCCCGGCGATTTTTGCCGCTGCCGTGAAAACATCAATAAAATTTAAAAAATCTGAAAATCCTGAGGGGTTTCGGTGGAATTTTTGAGGGGTTTTGAGGGGTTGCCGGCTTTTCCCGCCGTTTTTTTTTTCCCGCCCGCCCGGCGTGAGGGGAGCGGCGCCGCAGCGCCCCCTGGCGGCCGTACCGATGCGGCGCTCCTCCAGCAGCGATTTGATCTCGGCGATTTTATCCAAAGCTCTCCGCAGAACGCTAAAAAACGGTAAAAGCGATAAAAAGCAGGAGGAAAAGATGAAAAATCGGGAAGAGAGGTGCGGTTCGGGAGGTGGGGAGGGGAAAGGTGGGGGAT